AAAAAAGTTCTGAGCATTGATGGTCCCAGTCCCAAGATGCAATTTGCCAAAATGTAATGCTGTGGCCAATACGTTTCCTTTGATATCAATACTCAAGCAGCAATTTCTGCAGTCTCATTGGCTACGAGCATGTCGAATTGCCCCCAAAGCAGGGCAGAAAATATCATGAAATTTAGGGTAGAAATGTGAAATTCAGTGCAAAATTGATCTCAGGCACACAAAATGGCTGTCAAAACTATATTCAACTATGCAAAAATTACTAGTTCCTCAAATGTGGAAGACAAGAAGTGAATATGAAAGACTAAAACGCTTTTGTTTGAAATATGGCTTTGCAAAATCCTCCTCAACATCTAGTTATTGTTAAAAGACTCCAGTACTCTGCAGCAAAACATAAACAAGGACTTTACAGACAACACGAGAACCAGTAACTTCTAATCAATTGTTATAAATTGCCCTCCTGGACTGAGAAAATTAGTCATTTGCTTGATGTTATCTCAGTATTTTCAGTCTGCATTTTGGTTCAAGTATCATAAGTTGAACGTTGAATAAATTCCTGTTCCTCATCAATTAACATGGTACAGGGTTCCTAAACCCATGACATACGCTAAGCCTAGAGAGCTGTTGAAGATGACCCGTACATTTTCCCTTTACTTTGTTCGCAAATTCTTTAAATTTAACAGGCAGGAAAGACTACTCTTCATGCAGGTCTTGAATAGAGTGAATGAATATCATTTACCCGTGAATTGACAAGTCAAATGTTTTGGAGCTTGACACCTGAATTTGTCATGAAAATTACCAAAACATGGCAGACATTGCCACTTATATTTTACCAATAAGTAATCACATGACTTTTTTTTGATTTTTGGAATAAATGCACGCAATTTTTTTTAAAGTCTGTACATTGCACTAGCACTACAGGCTCCTGCAATTTTGTTAGCTTTTGAAAAATTAATGCATGATTATTTATTCCAGATTGTACTGGAAATCATGTTTACGTGAACTTTCCTTTTCTTTCATTGATTCAAGTTCATATATAACTCAAGTTGTGGTTCAATATTACCTCTGGTCCAATTTGGTACAGATTCCTTTGTTTCAATGACTAACATTGTAATTATTATTTACCATGTACTAGAAC